CATGCGTCGGGCTCAAGGAAGTTATTGCTTGATTCATTTGAATGTGTATTACCATCTCGAGTATGGTCAGATCTCATCTCCCGCCAAAGATGAAGGGGCACCCAAATGTTTTGTTTGGGCAAGGGACAACGGACAAAAAGGAAAAATAGGCGGGCAAAAGACACGGACTATCCGCGCAGCTCTGGTTGCTGCCGGGATGATATATGCGGAGACTGTTTGCCTATCAGTGGCCATCCATCTTGAGAAACGAGGTGAGAACCAGATATGTCCGTTGTCCGCCGGTTTCCGGCTGCACCTTGTCACCTGAAACCACAGAACCGGTTCTTTTGGGTCGTTTGCCACGTCATCAATCGTTTTGTCGTTGTTCTGATCGGTATCATTGAAATGAGAAAACCAGGCTCAGAATAGACAGGTTCACAAGCCCTCCTGATTTTTTTCAAATGGGAAAACTGATAGCGAAATATATAATTTGAAAAGGAAAACATACAACTTGGTAATATGTCCAATTTTCAATAACCCAGTCAGCCAAGATCTGTGTTCTAGACTTTAATGTTTTTCAATTCAAAATGTGAACCCCCTTTTTTTATATAAATGGTTTTTTGGTTTTTCTAGTTGAAAACTCGGAAAGTGCATTTTTTTCAGACTGAAATGACTTAAAATCTGGTTGAAATCCTTTCTTTCTTGATTTCAAAACTCCTATTTTCCACTTAAAAACGTAAATTTCAGGCTGTTTTTTGTTAGCTGAGAATCAATTTTCAGATTATTTCCGCAAAGTTTAAAGACCTTTTTTTAGGTTTTTCAGTTAGCTAATATTTCAAAAATTATTGTTGGATTTTCCCGAGGTTTTTGTCTGCAAATCGACGAAACAGTGTTCGTAAAGATTACTGTAGATTACTGTAACAAACGATCTCTTGCAATTTGAAAAAAATATCGTTTCTGAAATTTTTTCCGCGTTTTGACGTGAATGTTTTCTACAGTATACAAGAATGTTTTTTTCTACAGTAATCTACAGTAATCTTCACGAAAACCATCCGGTCGAACTGCAAACAAAAGAAGCCGGAAAAAAACAGAAAGTTCTGTCTTTAAATAGATGAAAAGCATGAAAAGGTCTAGAAACTTCCGCGAATTATGGAAGTAATTTGAAATAAAAAATCGAAATTTTATTCAGACCAAAAAAAGTTGAAAATCGATAACAAAAAATAGCCTGAAACTTCCGTTTTTGAGTGGGAAGATGGAATTTAAAAAATAAATTAAAATTGATTTGTTAAAAGTTTTTCCCAATCATTTCACGAGTTTCATGTTTTTCTTGAGTGTTTTACTTGTTACTGTTTTGAGAACTCGAAAATTTTACATTGCCGAAGTACAAGTTTTCCATGCTTCCTGACTTGCAAACCAAAAACTAGAAAAGCCAATTTTTATTTAAATGTAGAAAAATAAAACCAGTTGCTTAAATAATTATACATAATTATCATCTTAGTTTTTTTACAAATCCTCAATTTCGATGTTGTAGCGAAGTTGTTTAGCTGAGAACCACGAGTAGTAGTTGTCAAATTCAAGGACATCTGGAATTGGGAAATTTGGATATACCGTTTTTGAGATACAGTACTGGCCATAAAGAATGCGACAACTTGTTTTTTGAAGATAACTTTTTGAAAACTCAACTTTTCAATCCGAATTTTTGGTAAGATTTTTTCAGCACTATCATAAACTTTTAGGCTAAGTTGGTTTTAATATTCTGCTACAATTTTTTTGAAAATTATTTTTTTTCGAAAATTCATGAAAATGACATTTTTGGAGATCTATACAAAGAAGCTCAAGAAACACCGGAGGTCAAAAACAAAATAAAGGTAACAATAAAAAGTGATTTAATATTTCGTTGGGTATCCTTTCGCATCGATAACAGCCTTGCATCTACGTGGCATCGACTCCAGGAGCGTCTGAACCACCGTCATCGGGATACTCTTCCAAGCAGCTTCGAGTTGAGCAAACTTTTGATTGGCATTGGATGCTCTGACTCCTTTGAGGCGGCGTTCCAGCTCCTCCCACATATGCTCGATGGGATTCAAGTCTGGAGATTGACTTGGCCATTCTAGGAGGTTCACACGGTGACGTCTGAACCAATTGGCGACATGACCCGAAGTATGCTTCGGGTCATTATCCTGTTGGAACACCCACGATCGGCCCAAATTTGCTCTTGCCCATGGTCTCATTGTGTTCTCCAGGATGTCTTCGTACACATATCGATCCATGGTTCCAACGATTCTCTTCAATGGTCCCATAGAAGTGTCGGAGAAGCATCCCCAAACCATCACAGATCCACCTCCATGTTTCACAGTTGGACATTGGTACTGTGGAGCATACCTGGAGCCAATGGGACGTCGAATCCACTGAATACCATCAGTTCCGAACATATTGAACTTCGATTCATCGCTCCAGATGTGATTTGCCCACTCACGGGGGCCCCAGGACAAGTGCTGTTTAGCCCATTCAACGCGAGCTTTTCGGTTTTTCAAACTGACGAGTGGTTTTTTGACTGGTCTTCGCCCGTGCAGTCCAGCAACTTGCAAACGTCTTCTAATAGTTCTTCTCGATGGTACCGGTTCATTTGGAGACGTCACAGAAAGTTGAATATCCGTAGATGTGCGTCTAGGATCTTCTCGGCATGCGCGCAAAATGTTCCGATCCATATTTCTGGAAGTGGTTCGGGGTCTTCCTGGAGATTGGCGATGAACAACGCCATTCTAAATTGTTAAATTTAGTTGAGAAAGCTGATTGAAACCTACATCATCTCGATTTTTCTTCAGAATACGGTAAATTTGGCTGGAAGAACAACTAAACTGAGTTGCAAGTATCTTCGGATGCGCGCCGAGTTCATGACCACGCACAATGCTTTTTCGCTCGTCCACAGAGAAGGATTTTTTCCCGAATGGTCTAACCATATCTGAAAAACAATAAAACAATAACTAAAACTAATTCCAATTAGTTGTCTTTCAACTTTATTTAAAAAAACCAAAAATCATGAAAAATATGCAAAATGAAAAAAAAAAAGAAAACAATTGAAAAAAAATTTTGTTTGCAAGATGATGCAATTTCCAAGTACGCAAGTTTTCGTAACTTTCCAATGTGTCTACAGTAAAAAATTCGAGTTGAAAAGTTGAGTTTTCAAAAAGTTATCGTCAAAAAACAAGTTGTCGCATTCTTTATGGCCAGTACTGTACCTAATTTGGATCTCAATTATCTCGGTTCTTGTGATACTGAAAATTTGTCAACTGTTCAAGTGTTTATCATGATAGCTCCAACATTTTATCAGTTGACAAATTTTTGTTGTCTATTAAAGGAACATAGATAATTTAGCACAACGTGCACGTACAGAATGGGGTTCTATTTGAGCAGATACGGCAGCTCAACAACTACAGTCATCCATTGAAGAATTGCATCAAAAAATACCGTAATCTTTTTTGATGCAATTAAAATACGTGCACTAATCCTTTCAGAAAATTACAGTAATCCTTTTAAAACTCACAATTTCCAAGATCAGTGACATCCAAATGTCCTGTGATTGGAACATTGGTACACTCCAAACGGATGTACGGATAGACAGTTTCCATTTCAGTTAGCTTATCGCAAGCTCCAGTTTTGTCATAATGAATTTCGAATCCAATATCGTCCTCATCAGTCATATAGGTCCAGCTGAAATATGAGAACTGTGCAAGGCTGCTCTATTGGACTTTTAAAGTACTGTATTTGTACAAATAGAAAACCGCCCTATACGTTCACTTTGAGCTTGTTATCTCGGTTCCTACAAAAGATATCAAATATATGTCAACTGCCGAATTTTTCATCATAATATCACCAACATTTTATCAGTGGGAAAATTTTTGATATATAAGAGGGAGTTTCAAATCGAATTTTTTGAAAAATACTGTGCTCACGCAGAAAAATTTGAAATTCTTTTTTCTATTCAAAACTGTGTTCTTCACAGAATCGTTCTGTTGAACAATTCAGTGATTTAATTTTCGCGTCATATTTTTCTCTCACAGATGTGTTCTACAGAACGATTCTGTGTTTTTGTTCTTTAATTTTAATAAAAACGTTAAAAAATAAATTTAAAAATTGTGGATTTTTCATGAAAACCCAGATTTAATGAAAATAAATGTTCACGCTACATGTTCTGGGGAAAATAAGAAAATTCCCATTTATTTAAAAATAACTTTTTTTTGTAATCGTGTTTTTAATGTGTAAATTCTCATAAAATTTCTCTTTTTTGATTATTTTGTCTCAAACGTGAAAATTTTGAAATTCGATCTCTCTTATATTTACAAATAATCGAGATAATTGAGTTCAAATTGTATAGAGTTTAAGATTTATTTTACAGTTTTACATTTGTTTTTTGAGTTTCTATTAAAACAACTACTGTATTCAGATGAGCTCTCCAAATGAGCTCTTCTCTAAAAAGCTAGATATCCTCACCTTATCCGACTTGGTCGTTTCACTTTGATCTGAATGAGATGCTTGTCTCCAGCGTAGACAGTAGTCAGTTGATCGTAGTCTGCCATCGCTTTTTTCGGATCCACGAAATAGGATTCGTCGACAGCGCCACCGCCGTATTTGATACGAGATGGACATTTTGGATCTCCGTTTTCGACAAGATTTCCACCCCAGTACATTGGCCACGCTTCGAGATTCACGATTTGAGCCAATGACCATTTCCAATCGGACTGAAATTGTAAAGTTTTGATTTTAGTTGAATAAGAGTTTAAAGGGGGACTCCGGTCAAATTTTTTATTGCATTAAAGTGTGTTAAAAGCTATCTATTTTCCTAATATTATTGCGAAAATTTTTTTAAAAAATCCGAAATCCCCGAAAAACGCCGTTGAAAAGGAAAAAATTCAAAAAAAAAGGTGCCGCCGAGGGACGAGGATTTTCAGTGAGAAACCTAGGCCACGCGTGCGGCGCGACTTTCTTACCGGACAATTTTTCCGGATTTTTCTCGCTTTTATCTCCGACAGGTAAAAAACGTTAAAAAACACTGTCGGCCACTTGAAAATAATGCTATCAGGCGCCGTGGCCTAGGTTTCTCCCTGCGCGGAAATTCAAATCCTCGTCCCTCGGCGGCACCTTTTTTGAATTTTTTTTCACTTTCAACGGCGTTTTTCGGGGATTTCGGATTTCTTCCGAATTTTTTCGCAATAATATTCGAAAAATAGATAACCTTTGAAACATTTTAGTACAAAAAAAATTTTGTTCGGATTCCCCCTTTAAGGTATCTCTGACAGGAACCGAGATAAACTAGCTTGAAGTTAAAAGTTAGAGAGCCTTCTATTACAGATTTTACGGTAGTTAAGTTTCAACCGATTTATTTCATTTTCTGTAGAAGTTATAAAAATGTGGTCTGCTGATAAAACATCGATAATGGTATGAGAAAAAAATTACAGTCGACAACTTTTTCATATTTTTTGCAGGAGCCGAGATAATTAAGCTCAAAGTTGACAGTTAATTCTATTCTTCTGAGAAACTCACTTCAGACGGCATTTCCACGAGACGAGTGATGGGATCCTGTAGAATTGCAGTGATGGATGCGTAAGCAATTCGTGCCATTTCCGGTGCCCTGAAATTTTAAAAAGAATTTTAAAACCTCAAATTTCGTCTTATCGAAGCCAGACAGTTCCAGAGGCTCCTTGACTGACCTGATGATCAGAATTTTCCTCAAAACCATAGGATAATGATCCTGGAACAGACTGACGAGTGTGGTGAAAGACGAAGCGAACTGTTTGCATGAAAAGTGAGCGGAGGTGATGTTTTCCAAATCGAATACCAATGTCATTTGTTCAAACGGGCGGCCAGACTAAAAATTTCGGGAATTTCGAATTGTAGAACTTTTGATTTTAAAGGGTGGCGCACAAAATCACGGACTGATAAAAACGGGAATATGTAATACGGAAATTTTGAAATTTCGAGAAAATCACCTCCAAAGCTTTCTGCTCACAAAGTTTCATTCCTTTTTCAATTGCAGCCAATGAGAACTTGATATAATCCAACGATGCAACAGATCTCAACAGCCCTTCGACATCTACATTACCCAGCAAAGACATCAGAATTGGACGTCCTTCAGTATCACCCAGCAATCCATATCCACAATATTTTTCGAGGCACTGAAATTTTGAATTTTTGCCTACATAAAAAAAATCCTAGTCCTTCTGGTTCATCTCTGAGAATCTCATTTTATGATCTTTATGAACTGTGATCTATGATGAATCATCTATCTTGGAAAACAGGATTTATTAGATTTGTCATTGTTTTGAGAAGAAACTTTGAACCGCCGCTTTTATTAAAGTCTAGAAAAATCTAAAAGAATCTAGTTTTGATGTTTCGACCTACCGTATTAGCTTTAATAGATGCCCAACCTAACTTTGAGTCAACTTATCTCGATTCTTGTGAAAGATATCAAAAAGTTGTCAATTGATAAATTAACGATGATATTATGATGAATTATTTATCCGTTGACACATTTGATTTCATTTGTGGGAATCGAGATAATTGAGCTCAAAGTGCAGGGATTCTTTCAGAGTAAATACAGTATTCAATCGCTTTCACAAGCCAATCGAAAAATCCGAATATTCTGTTTCAATAGAGCAAATTTTTCAACAACAAAACAACCTACTTCTGGAGGTGTCCACTGATGAATTTTATCCAAATGCCATGCTGTTCGGAATGTGACATGTTTTCTTAGACTCTCTGCTGTTTCGTCAAATCGTCCACCTTTTGCACGAAGCCAACGAAGCACATATCCATCGTTGAGATTTTCGATTTGTGGCAGGATCGATCTGAAAAATTGTGATTCTTAAAAACTTGAAATTTTACATTTTTGTTCCTGGATTCTAGAATTTGGAGATTTTGAGATTGTTTAGAATCTCAAAAGATTCAAAAAAGTTCAGAATTCAATAATTCCCGGCAGTCAACTTTAAGCCCATATAACTCATTTCCTGTGAAATGTATACAGGATACGCCAAAATTATTGCAACCAAAGTTTAGTGCAAGCTGGTGGGCACTGTAGAAGTTTCGGACCAATTTATTTGTACATATTATTTTCAGCATGTCTTGATTACATTATTCCCAAATTTTCAAGTCTTTAGGTTGACTTTTACACGAATGGTGACTAGTTCTATACACCTATGGACCCTCTTCAAGGTGGCCAAGAGACGGGTGGGCCTAAGGAGCATCGGAAAAGCTCTCGGAATCGAACGAACAACCTAGTGGACAACCATCGAATGTTTCTAACAGTTGAATGCGATCAAGAACTGTCCAGATCTCAAACTTTTATTACCCTGGAGAGATGCAAGGTCGTCAGAGAATGAGTTTGTCAAAATTCGCACCGATTAATGAAAAACTGAGCCTGGAGTTTCAAATGAGCAGTAAGTCAGTCAGTACAATTGTCAAAAGAGACCTCGGGCTGACCCTATTTCATGTTCTGACATAGAACGCCGAGCCCTTATCAGAAAACCATCGAATTTTTTGCCCGAGATCTGAGCTAGCTAATAATCATGGTAGGATGGCCAATCGAGCTTCATATCCATAGACGTCATGGTTTTTGGTTAAAACCTCCGAATTCGATTTTTTGTAGATTTGGGGGAAATTTGGGGGAAATTCAGCAAAGAGTACTAATAGGAGGAAACTTTTTAGAGGTATGTTCTCTCGTGGACCAAATACTAATCTCGAAACCATGTTTGGACTGTTCCACGGTGTTTTGGTCTCACTCACAAGCCAAACATCGTTCAACCAGGGAGCGCGACCAAATTTTCAAGATTCGGTACGACTTCACCCATGTCACCCATGTCGCCGACATGATTTTGGTTGACTATTCCGCATATGGAATTTTTCAGTCGAGGGTCCCAGCACGTCCACATTCTCATTTGGAGACATTGCGAAAACGTTTGGACCCAGGACGGACCCAGTTATCCCCAAAACACCTCCGTGCCACAGTAGACGCGTTTCCGAAAAAACTCATGGATATAGTGATGACCAAAAACAATTGCATCAAACAAATTTGATAATCTCATTATTAGAAAGTATTCAGTAAACTATTGCCAAATTTCCAAGTCTATTCGAGTATTTTCAGAGAAGTTACAGCACTTTGAATGTGTTGCAATAATTTTGGCGCACCCTGTAAAAATCTGTCAACTAATAAATTTTTAATTATATTACCACAAACATTTTATCAATTGACAAACTTTTGATATCTTTCACAGAAATCGAGATAATTGAGCCCAAAGTTGGGTTGGCTTCTATTAAGCCAAATACAGCATCAGACATTTTACAGACTTTTTTTTCGACAGACACCAAGAACTTTGTGCTTTTTTATCTCTATTTTTATCTTTTTATCTAGACAACCATCCAACAATAAGAAAGTCACATTTCTTTTTCTTTTCCAGATTCCTCTTTCCAAAATGACCTTGTTCCTTTACAACAGAAGGGATTTTCCTCATTTGATCGGGAATAGATTTCTTAGGAAAAAAGATGATGTCATATTCTGGATAAGAAGAAGAAGGTGTTGTACATATTTAGATGACAAAATTGATAAAACGGGATTGGTTTCGAAAAGTTTCGAAATTAAAGTAAAACCTGTAATAGAAGGGCCCTTTTTAAACTTTGACCCAATTTATCGCGATTCCTGTGAAAGATATCAAAAATTTGTCAACTGATAAAATATTGTTGATAATATGATAAACATTTTATCAGTTGACACATTTTCGATATCTTACATGCAAATTGAGATAACTGAGCTCTAACCGGTAAATGGAATTTTGATTATCAACAAAAGGAGAACAAAGTTTCTAGCTTGATTGATTTTAATCAAATCAGAAAATGTGTGTATTGATCTCTTATCCAAATGATAAGGATTCTACAGGATTCTAGTGATTTTTCTTTTCAAAAATCCAGGTGCGTGATTAAAAAAATCGATGACTTGTTTTGAAATTGAAAGCGAAAAACGGAAAACGGATTTCGAAACGGATACTCAATGATATGGATCTTTTGAAGATTTCCTAGAAACGACGGTTCAAATAAGAGTCGAATAAATTGATGAGAAGACTGCAAAATCCATAATAATAAAACACAAAACTTAGTGAATCTTTGAAGAAAATCTGGAAACTAGATTTGGAGGAAAAGAAGTTTGTGTTTTGGTATTGATAGAAGTTTTTCTAAAAAGCAGAATTTCAAATATAAGTTGCAGAGAATTGAAATTCTGAAATTTTGAGATTCTGCGATTCTGATAATTTCACACTCCGAAGAGAGATTTTCTGAGATTTTGAAGTTCTGTCAACTTTGATCTCATATATCTTCCTGTAAAAGATATCAAAAGGTGGTCAACTAATAAAATATTAATTATAATATCAAAAACATGTTATTAATTGACCACTTTTTGATATCTTTCACAGAAACCGAGATAAATTAGCTCAAAGTTGAAAATTAGAGTGAATCATTTTATCAGAGTGTTTACGGTATTTCTTTTTGTAATTCTAGAAGTTAAACTTGTCTAGATTATAATGGGCTTATACAGTAAGAAAGTAAGAAGAAAACCAGCAATTTGCTGGGACCTTTTGCTGGAGTTTTCTAGGCCATGGCTTGTTCTCGTGGAGCTAGACGACCAGTCTAAGCGAGACCCACGCAGGGAGCTCCATGCGTCTTTAACTTTCGAGCTCGTAAACTTCTTGTCGTATACACCCACGAGAACAACTCATGGTCTAGAAAACTCTATCAAACGACCCCAGCAAATTGCTGGTTTTCTGCATAAGGAAAAACCAGCGATTTGCTGATTTGCTTCTCACTGAATAACCCCATAAGATTTCTACAAATTAAAAAAACTCCTGATGACTCTAAAAATAGAAAATGTCCTGTCTATACCTGAGATCGCGAATAGTTTGCTGTTCAATGGAGGTTGCAGCGGCCGTCGGCGACACCAACATTACTTGATTCGAATGAAAAGAAAGAAGACGAAGGCGAAGGCAATGGGGGTCTTTTCCTTCTCTCGAGAAAAAGAGGCGGATGGTTTCTAAAAGAGAAGCGACGACAGAAAATCTCCTCGATTTTCGTTATATTTTCCACAGTTACTGTAGTATTGCCTGTGTGTTGTGTAATATCTCCGCAAATCTTCCGTTTTCTCTCTTTCTTTTCTTCCCCCATCTGGCCTTCTTCTTCTTCTTCCACAGGCCTCCGATTCCTTTTCCTCTCCGATTGCAGATTTCGATCGTTTGAGAAAAAGTGGAGATGACCGGGAAAAATGGGGATGATGTGTCACATGTTTTTCGTGATTTTCGGTATAATTTGCCGTTGAAAATAGTTATGTTTATCCCGATTTCTGTCAGTTCGAAAAAAATTCGAAACATATTTTGTTTGAACTAATAACGTCGGGTTGTACAGACTCGTCCGTTGAAAGCTGAAAGTTTCTTATTCCCGAAATCAGCGAACTTTATCAATTTTCCAGGTTTTCAGAACCGTCTTTCCGACTCTTTACAGCATTCTTTACAGGGAAAAGTTCAGCTGCGTTTTTGATTTATCTTTTTTGCAAAAAAAAAAGATTGGGTGTCTATTGTTGATGAATGCGGTGCTTTAATCCGCGATTTCGCGAGTGGAAACGCTTGGAGGAAAGAAAACTCAGGAATTCGATGATGACTGGTGTTGATTGAGACCGAAAAATTTGCTCTCGACGGAACAACCTGCATAACCGAGCGAGTACCGAGATCAGGCATACATTCGGTATGGAATACGAATAGGAAAAAATAGATTGCCCATTTTTGTTGAAATCGCATGCGCAGACTGCAAATAGGCTTAAACTCGATTTTTTCAACTGAAAATACGACAAATCTCGCCTTTAAAAAACATTTGTTGAAGCACTCGGAGATAACAGTACAACAGTGACAATAAAAAATATATAAACAACAAGAAAAAAAAACATTTCGAATCGATCATGTGTCTCTCAATA